ACTGGGTGGCGTGGGACGCATGTGGTCACAGCCACTGGAGCCTTCGTTGGAGCTCCTTATGGGGCGTTCGCATGCGTCCCCCTGCCACATTTCGGCGCGCCTTCACGCATTTCGTGGCCCTAGAGGGAGCTCATACTAAGGCCCAAGTGGCAGGGTTCGCATGCGTCCGCGCCGCCCTTGTCGGCATACCCCTCCCACGCTTCGTGGCCCCATAGGGAGCTCCTCCGAAGGCTCCAGTGGCAGGGTTCGCATGCGTCCCCACGCTCCATGTCGGCGCACCCCTCCCACGCTTCGTGGCCCCACAGGGAGCTCCACCGGAGGCCCAAGTGGCAGAGTTCGCGCGAGTCCCCCCACGCCATTTTGGCACACCCCTCGCACGCTTCGTGGCCCGATACGGGGACTCCTCCGAGAGCCCCTAGTGGCAGGCATGCGTCGGCCCCACTCTCACGCGTTTCGTGGCCCCTCAGGGGGCTCCACCTGCGGCCCCAGAGGCGACGTTCGCATGCGGCCGCCCGCCCCTTCTGGGTGCACCCCTCACACGTTTCATGGCCCCATAGTGAGGTCCACCGATGGCCCTGGTGGGGGGGGTCACACGCGCCCCCCCCCCCCCCCTCGGCACACCCCTCACACGCTTTGCAGCCCCATTGGGAGCTCGACCGCGGGCCTCACCGGCTGCGTTCGCATGGCACCGCCGCTCCCCGTGTCTGTACACCCTTCATTCGTGGCCCCAAAGGGAGCTCCACCGAAAGCGGTACCCACAACGCGGTATCCACAACTGCATCTGGTCGGGTCCATCGCCAGGGCAGTTGCAAATTTCTGATTGTTGGTAAGCGAGTGCGCACGTGTAGCATTGTTTGACAAGGGTGAGGGGGAGGGGGTCGATAAGAGGCTTTGCTGGGATGGTATGAGTTCATATGTGGAAATCACGATGGGGCAGAATCATATGTGAATCGCACTGTTCCAGGGAGGGCCGATCAAAGCATGGGGGGGGTAGATCGCATTTTCCTGCTAGGAAGGAGGCGGCGACGGGGCGGCGACGGTGCCTGCACAGCCGCGCCAGAGCGGCACCGTCGTCTATGTGGGCGGCGACGATGCGGCGCCGGGGCGGCGACGGCGGCTACCTGCTGGAGCGGCACCGCCTCCCAGTTCCATAGACCCCAATCAGTGCAGCCCAATGCAGAGCAGTGCAAGACAAGACGAAGCAAGTCAAAGCAACGCAGAGCAAGGAACTTCAATGCAAAGCAATGCGAGGCGATTTTGGCAATGCAGAGCAATGCCAAACAACGAAAAGCAATGCGAAGCAATGCGGAGCAGTGCAACACACGAGATTCCAATGCAACGCAATACACTTGGATGCAAGGCAGTGCAATGCAGTTTGGTGGCAACGCAGCGCGATTGCACAATGCAAGGCAATGCAAGGGAATGCAAAGCATTACAAAGCAACGGAAAGCACTGGGACGCAGTGAGAAGCAGCAAAAAGCAATGCAACGCAAAGCAAATAAATGCAACTCAGAGCAATCTAAGGCAACGTAACGCAACGCCATGAACAGCAATGCACACAGTGCAGAGCAACGCAGATAAAGCAATGCACATCGATGTGAGGCAATGCGAAGAAGTGCACATTGTTCATTTCTAAGTATTCGAGTTCTTGGATTTTTTAGGGGGGCCAAGATCCTTTCATTTCTCATCGTTCCATCCTGAGCCTCTTCCTGGCCACCGGGGTGCCAGGAACAGTCAGAAACGAGCAGAATTAGAAATGAGCACGATTAGAGAAAGGAGCGACGCGTATCGCAAAGCAGTGCAACGCAGACCCACACGTCGACGGGGCGGCGGCGGCGACCACACAGCCGCCAGGCCGACGGGCGGGTCCAAAGAGCGGCGGGGCGACGGCGACCGCGCAGCCGCCAGGCCGACGGGCAGGCTCAGAGGACGGGCGGCGACGAGGCGGCGGCGGGGGGCGACGGCGACCACACAGCCGCCATGCCGACGGGCAGGCCCAGTTCCGTAGGAAAGGAATGAGAACCCCTAATTGCAAGCACTGTTTTGGGGGAAAAAACAACAAAGGATTCAGTGAAACGACGAGGGGAGAGGACTCACGGGTTGTCGGCCATGGGGGAAGGCAGGGGAGAGGGGAGGGGCATGAGAAAGCTGCGTTTCTCCGTCCCCATCCTCCGCTCCTTCGGACCTCTCAGTTCAAGGAGCGGGATTCGCAAGGTTGCGGAGTATCCAACGTGGCGCCATCGAGGGCTGCGGTGGGGCGGAGGCAGAGGCGGGGGCGGCGAGGGAGGGGAGGCAGAAAAATCAAGGCAGAGAGGAGGGCTGGGGGAATGCAATGACGCATTGTTTGGGGTTCACGCTGGTAAACATGTGTGAGGAAGGGGGATGGAAGAGGGAGGGGAGGAGGAGGAAGAGGAGGAGAATGAAGGAGGAGGAGGAGGAGGAGGAGGAGGAGGAGGAGAGGAGGAGGAGGAGGAGGGGGAAAGGGATGGGGAGGAGGAGGAGAAGGAGGAGTTGGAGGAGGAGGAGCAGGCGGAGGTGGAGAAGCAGAAGGAGTAGGAGGAGAAGGAGGAGGAGGAGCAGGAAGAGAAGGAGGAGGAGGAGGAGGGGGAGGGGGGAGGGAGGAGTCTCCAGGAGAAGGTCTCATCCTCCTCCTTCTCCTCCCCATCCTCCTCTCCATCCTCTCCCCCACTTCGGGTTTCGCCTCCTCCTCCTCCCCTCCTCCTTCTCCTTCCCATCCCCCCCATCCCCCTCCTCCCCTCCTCCTTCCTCCTCCTCCTCCTCTCCTCCTCCTCCTCCTCCTCCTCCTCCTCCTCCTCCTCCTCCCCCCCTCCAACCCCCACCTTCCCATCCTCCCCCCTCCCCCCCGACGACCACGACGACTGCAGCGACGCTGACGACGCCGCTGCCCACGACGTCGACGACGACGGCTGCGGTGGAGGCGGCGGCGCCAGCGCCTGCTCCCACGGGCCGCCCCACAGGTCACGCCGAACGGCACCGCCTTCAGCCCCATTTCCAGGCAGCCGCCTCGCCCACCCGCCGGCGCATGTGCGTCCGCGCCATTGTCGTCGGCGTCGGCGTCGGGGGCGTTGGCGCCGACGCGGGAGCCGACGGCGCTGACGGCGACGGCGGTGGCGTCGACGCCGACGACGCGGGCGACGGCGACAACGACGACGAGGACGACGACGCTGGCGACGACGACGACGACGACGAGGATCACGAAGAGGACGACGACGACGACGACGACGACGACGACGAGGACGACGAGGACGACGACCAGGACGACGACGATGACGACGGCGAGGGTAACGAAGAGGACGACCATGGCGACAACGGCCACGACGACGACAACGGCGCCGATCACGGCGGGGGCGGCGTCGGCGCCGTCGCCGTCGTCGTCAGCGTCTGAGGAGGAGGGGGGGAGGAGGGGAGGCGGAGTGTGAGGGGAGGGAGGAGTGGGGGAAGAGGTGGCAAGGTGATTCGAGCCCTCTCAAGGTATGGCCTGGTGATACCCGCTCCGCAGTCACACGTTACTGGGTGAGTGAGTTTTGTGTTTGGGGCGGCTGGCACTCGACGGCCGCTTCCATTGAGTACAGTACAGCACAAAGGTGAATCGAGCACGCGCAAGTCCGCACGAATTCATGACACGGGGAGTGGGGTGGCAAGGTGTCTCCGCGAATCCGTGGCACGCGATGCCTACACCCACGCCTCCGATTCAAAGTCTGCTTTCTACTTTTTGGTTCATGTGGCCATGAGAGTCTACTCGCATGAGTTCAATGTTGAACATATGGGCGGTGGCGTCTTCTCGTAGCGTTGGTTGGCCTACACGTGCCGTGATCGCGTCCGTGATATACTTGCAGTTTTCTCTCCACACGAAGAAGAAATGGAGAGGGATGGGAAAGGTGTAGGGGTGGGGGGAGGAGGCGGAGGAGAAGGAACAGTGGTTGGGGTAGGGCGCAGGAGGAGGAGGGGAGGACGAGGAGGAGGAGGAGGAGGTGGTGGCCCCTCCCCGACGGCGCGTCCGCTCCTCCCGTGAACTCCTGGTCGTGGGTGTGGCGGGGGGGGCAGGTCCGACATCAAGCCCACCGCGGAGCACGAGCTCCTGGACGTGGGCCAGGCCAGGGTCCCGTGCTCCGCATCCTCCTCCTCCTCTTCCTCCTCCTCCTCTTCCTCCTCCTCCTCCTTCTCCTCCTCCTTCTCATCAGCATCATCATCCTCATCATCATCAGCAGCATCAGCATCAGCACCAGCATCAGCTCCATCATCCTCATCCTCATGCTCATCCTCAGCCTCATTATTAGTATTCTCATCATCAGCAGCATCATCATCAGTTTCATCACCATCATCATCAGCATCATCATCATCCGTAGCCATTTTGGCTCAAGATGATGCGATCAGGGCATATGTCTGGTCCCATGTGTCTGGTTCTAGCCGTCGCTTCATTCCTTGGGTCAGATTCCAAATCGACCAAGCTTTCAGCGAGGCCTTCGCGGCCACAGCTCTTCCATATCCATAACCTTTCCGACACCCGGCCCCAGTCGCCCGATTGGGGGCCCAGCCTCGGCGGGCCCGACCAATGGCAGCACGTGGTGGTGGTGCTCGGGGTGCCGCGTGTGGCGGCGGCGGCAAAGGCGGCAGAGGCGGACGCGGGGGAGGTCAGCCAGGCGGAGTTGGGGGCAGCAGTGGCTGTGGCAGCCAGCCCAAAGCTTGGGATTGCCCCAAGTGCGGAGCCAAGGAAAACTGGGGCTCTTGGCGCGTGTGTCGCAGCTGCGGATTTGACTGGTGGGAGCAAGGTTCTGGGGCAAGCTCGTGGTGGAGTGGCATGTCTAATTTGGACGCCAAGGAACGCCACGAGCTCAACCAGTTGCGGCGCAAGGCCAAAAAGGTCGAAGGAGATTCTCGTGCAGCTTCAGCGGGCGATGCAGGCGCAGCAGCAGCAGCCTCCTCCCCGAAGGACGAGAGACTACGGCGACTCGGGAAGCTTCGGAACGACATCAAAAAGCTCGAAGGAGTGGAAGGCGCAACCGAGATACTTGCGGGCAAGCGGCAGGAGGCACAGCAGTTGGAACACGAGCTCTCCGAGGAGAAGCCCACGTCCGTCCAGCTCAGCGAGCTCGAGCGCAAGCAGTGGAACCAGCAGAGCACCTCGGAGGCGCTTGCCAGGAAGATCGCGGACACCGCGCAGGAGATCACGGGCCTCGAGGCGCAGAAGCTCGAGCTGGAGGGCAAGCACGAGCCGAGCAAGGCAGTGGAGAAGGAGCTCCAGGCGCTCATCGACAACCTCTTGGCCAAGCACAAACGTGAGCGTGAGGACGCACTCGGAGAAGGAGCGGTGGGGGTGGGCGCCACAGCAGCAGCGCCTCGGTCCCCAGCGGCCTCGCTCAGCGAGGGAGAACGCGTCGCAGCTTTCTTGGAAGCTTTGGATCAGGCCTCTGGCGTGCTCAAGTCAGGTTACGCCCAGCAATGGGAACAGCAGGTCTCCCAGCTTCGTCGGCTGGCGCACGGCGTCGCAGCATCTGGCGCAGCAGCAGAACGAGACATCGGCGACGAAGAGCTCGAGGAGGCCGACCTCAGAAACATCCTGGACAGCATGGAGGAGGAGGAGGAGGAGGAGGAGGAGGAGGAGGAGGAGGAGGAGGAGGAGAAGGAGGAGGTCGAGGTCCTGCGGAGGAGGGCAGCGCGGCGGCAGGTGCTGGCAGCGGCGACGAAGGGGCTCGACGCGGTGACCCCGCAGCCCAGGCCGCCCAGAGGCGCGGGCTTCGCGCGCAGAAGCCCCCCCCAAGCCTCCGCTCTGCGGGGCTCAAGCGGAGGGGGAAGCGCGGGTAGCAAGCCCACATTCACGGTGGTCAGCCTCGACGGAAGCGGTTGGGGCCCCCTCGCGGCCATCCTCGGCGAGCAGCAGGGCCCGCAGCAGCAGGTGGTCGCCGGCGCGCGCGTGGGCGACGCGATCTGTTTCCAGGAGCACCACCTTAACGGCTACCGAGTCGTCGAGCATGAGCAGTTGTGCAGGCAGGTCGGCTGGAGCGCGGTGCTGACCCCAGGCGTGAGTTCCGTGGGGGCATCGCAGCAGCGCGCGGCGAGCGGTGGCACTGGGGTCGCAGTGCGCTCTACCCGCGGCATGCGCGGCCCAAGCGATCAGGGCTGCGCGGCCAGCTGCCGCGTCTCTGACGGCAGGGCCACGGTAACCCATGGCAATGGTGCAGTACCTGGCGGGTGTCTGCTGGGCTCTGCATACCTTGACAACGACGACGTCGGCGAGACCAGCCAGTCCGCGCTGCAGGAGGCCGGCTACCTCCTCAAGCGAACAGGGAAGCCGTGGGTCATCGCCAGCGATTGGAGCGCGGAGCCCGAGCGTTTCCTTCAACGTGCGGGGCATTGGCTATGCAAGGTCGGTGGTCACGTTGTCGACACGGGCGCGGGCGCCTGCCAGCGCTCCCCGACCAAGTGGCCCGCGGGGCTTGACTGGTTCGTTGCCAGCGCTGAGGTGTTCGACCGAGTCCTCGCCCGCAAGCGCCTGGACGTGGCCGCCCAGGTGTGCGCCAACCCTTGCCGCCCTCATATGGCAGTGCAGCTGAGCCATGCCTGCTACGGCGACATGGGCCAGTCGCTCAGGGTCAGGGGGCCGATGGCTTTCCCCGAGGCGCGCCCTCTCGGGCCCATGCTGGAGAAGCAATGGGGCCGCAACTCTGTTCGGACCCAGATAGACATGGGCGGCACTTTGCAGGGCATGGGGGAGGCATCAGGGCTCTGCGAGAGCGGAGAGGAGGAGCTCGTCTGGGCTTGCCAGATCGACCCCGACGACGCCGCTTTCTAACGGGGACGGGGGGCCCGCCGAAGTCCGCCTTCGGCTCCCAGGCGAAGGCGCGCCCCATCAAGGGCCCCAAGGCCAGCTTCAAGGGGGGGAAGCTCATGCACCTGAGCGACTACTTCGCCCCGGCGAGGCTTCTTACAGGCGGCGCTGATGCCGAGGGCGGGGGGCCCGCGTCGGAGGCGCGCCTCGCGCTGGGCCCCGAGCGCCGCGAGGCCGAGCGCATGCAGGTCAGAGCCATCAAGCGCTACAAGCGCGCGTTGGGGCGTCGAGCGCGCAGCTGGGTCTCCAACCCTAGCGACCCCAACTACTACGAGGACGAGGCCGAGTGGATGGAGAAGTGCGTGCCCTACATCCTCCGCGCGCTGGGCTTGCCGACGCACGTCGCCGCGGCCTTGGCGTGGGATTTCGAGGGCCGCGCGCGCGCCGCGAGGGAGGCATGCTCCTCTGCGTGGCGGCGCGGGGGCCCTTGCAGGCGAGAGCTGGTTCGTCTCCTTCGACAGCTCGGACACCTGCGCCCCGAGGATGGGGGGGGGAGTTCCACCGAACGGTCGACAACTACTTGGGATCGAAGCGGTGGTTGGAGGGGCGCGGCGACTACAGCAGGCCCCTCCCTGGCGCCCCCATAGCTTTCGATGTTTCGACCGGGCCTCCTGCGGATTGGGGGCCGCGCTGGGGTGGCGACAATTTGAAGGGCGAGCTGCGGGCGACGCCGCGGCCCCCGATCCTTTGCGCCGTTCTTGAGCGAGTGGCGGCCGTCGGCGACTGGAGCGCCATCGAAGTAGGCGTGCAAGGGGTTCGGGGGGGCCCTCCAGCGCCTCGCCCGAGGCTGGCTCCCGCACTTGCACGCTCCCGACCCAGAGCTCGACAGGGCCAAGTGGATGGAGCTGTGCGCGCACTATGCGTTCGCACGCCTCAGCCTGCACGAGGGCGATGGGACCGCTGACGCGAACGCCGTGGAGGACCCCCGCGGCGCTGACACAAGGGCTGCACTGGGAGCAGCATCTGCGGAGGAGGTCAGCGCGATCCCAAGCAAGCGCCCTCCAGGCTCCTTCGCAGCACTGGCGGCAGCAGGTGGAGGTTACCCAGCAGCCCACAGCACGGGGCACGCAGCATCGGCTTCGACGGCTGCACCCACAGGCCGCGGCAGCGCTGGCAGCGAGGGCGAGGGCGGCGCCTGCGCTGCGCAGCCGTTCACGGGGCGCGCAGCCGCGCGCTGGGACAGGGCCGCGGAGCTGCGCGAGAAAAGCTGGTCAGGCGCGCAGCCTGTGAGGGACGAGTACCGCCGCAGCATGGCCGCCCTGGAGTCCAGCTCCCCTGACGCGTGGGCAGTCGCGGACGACGAGCACTACAGCTTCACCCAGTCCGTCAAGCATTTCATGCGCTACCACGGTGACCTTCCGTCGGATTCCAGCGAGGACAGCGACGACGGCAGCTGCGGCGGCGGCAGCGCAGATGGCCGAGAGGCGCGCGCAGGCGCGGCAGCCCCGAGGCCCCCCTTCCATGGAGGGCCTCCCGCTGGGAGCGCAGTGGGCCGCACGCGTTGCCCTGGCGGCCGACTGCCCCGACCTGCTGCCCCTGGCCGAATGGGCTGCCGAGGCCGGGGCTGCGGCCGAGGCGGAGGGCGCCGCCTTTGCCGCCATCCGCGGCCAGGGGTTCAAGGAGTGGATGCGCAGCTCCATGGCAGCAGGCGCAGGGGGCCTCCACGCCTACCGGCGAGGACCGCGCGGCTGGGCACCCGACGACGAGCTGCGCGGCGCTCCAGCGCGCGGCCCCGACTGAGTGAAGGTCGCGGCGCAGCGGCAGGACAGCGATCGCTTCCGCCCGCGGCGACCGCCCACCGAGGCAGAGGCACTGCCCAGGCCCTCGGCCGATGGGGCGCGCCAGGCCGCCAAGACGTTCAGGCGTAGCACTGGCGTTGGCAGCGATCGCTTAAACCCCGAGAAAGGCAGCAGACCTCAGCGACGCCCTCCTGGGGGTCATCATCGGCTTCGGGATGCGGTGCGAGGAGTTGGGCGGCTGGCCCGACGTCATTGCCGACTCTCTCGTGGTGATGCTCCCTAAGCCTCAAGGGGGCTTTCGGCCCATAGGCTTGTTGGGCTGGCCCCCAAGCCTCTGAAGTCGCGTCCGTCAGCCAGGCGCGCGGCACTGGGACTCCCAGATCGACCCAGGCGTAGCCGGCACATTCTGGGGCGGCCGCGGGCGCGCGGCCGGAGAGGCCGTCTGGCAGCAAGCGCTCCGAGCCGAGGCCTCGCAGGCACGGGGCGGGGGAGCTGCGGCATCACTCATCGACCTGTGGAAGACCTACG